AATTGCAAACTCTGGCCAGAAAATTGAAGCGGAACAAAGAGGAAAAAAGTGTTGAGCTCTTTTTTATTGTTCAATACCAAAAAGGTGACAGAATAAACGACTGAAAAAGCAGAAGTCATTTGAAGCACAGAAGAGAAGGAAACTGTACTGGCCTGCAGCAAAGGGCATACAACAACGGCAAGTATGGACTAGAAGAAGAAAAATGGCACACACATTGTGATTACCCAGGCGCTTCTCATTGTAAAAACAACAGGTGGGAAATGAACAAAACGCTGGAGGGATGAAAGGAGATACGAAATCTAGCAAACAACGGACGAAAGGTTGGCATTGGCCTAAAAGAAGACGTCCAAGACTCGACGACGAAGGAAGTCCGTTGTCAGAGGGGAGATGATCACATAGGCAGTCAGGAGGCAGAATTGACAGGCGTTGCTCAACCAGGATGGGCGCATATCTCCCAGCTCCAGGGTGTCGATCAGGAGGTTCAGCGAACCCGTCATTATGTTTGAGACAAGGAAGTAGAGCATTGCGTTGTCAGAGACTATGGTTACCAGTGGCATTAAGTCTAAAAAAGCGGAAACAAGAGGTTAAATGTGGCAGTCCAGCACTTTACTGAGGCAACCGCAAAAAGAGGGCCCAGGCATTACGCTCTCGGAAACTACGGCGTCAGCTTATTGATTTATGCATTTATTACATACCTCCACCCCCCAAAACTAGCTGCACTGTCACGCACGACTCAACCCAATGCCAAAACAAGCCTAAGGCGCATTTTAGCCCTTTAAGGGACGCAGCGAATTCGAGATGTAGGCGCTAGATGCTGTGCCTGGTCTCAGCTCCCAGCGATTTAACTCAGGCTAGCGACTGACGCAAGACGAGTGGGTAGATGATCCGGCAAGGAGTCAGTGCAAACATTGCTTTCTACAAAAGTCGACGCGCACTCAAACGCTTAGGAGGCGCTGAAATTCGTGGCGAGCTTGGCTCCTCTAGGAATTGAGGATCAAAAAACAATAGCTCCTACTAAGTGCAGTCTTTGTACCAAACCCATCGCCGTGGGAAAACCGGAGACCGCGTCCACTAAAGTTAAGTTCGGGAGCGCGCGTGGCCCAGGTCGAGAGGGGCGAAATTTTAACCGTTTATGCGCTCCTAACCCATATCCGCCCGTCTCTGTCTATTCATTCATAAGATGGCAAGTATATGAACCTGAGATGAAGCAGATGCTGCGAGAATCCCCCTCATTTTAGATAACTTCATGTCCAAGTCGTCACTGCGTTCTCGGACCAGTTGCAATCTTCGTCGCTACGAAAGTTGACGCGCACTCAAACTCCTGGAAGACGCCAAAATTCGTGAAAAACTTGGTTTCCCTAGAGATTGACGACCAGGCCACTATGGCTACTCCTAAATGTGGTCTTTATAGCAACCCTTCGCGGTGGGAGACCTCAGACCGCGTCAGCTGAAGTCAAGTTCAGGCGCGTGCGCGGTACGCGCAGAGGTGGGCACAATTTGAACCGTCACGGCGTTGAAGACTCATTTCCACCCACTTTTTTCTATTCATTTTGAAAATGGCAAGTGAACGAACCTGTGGTACAACTGTGTTCCTATCCACATGCAACCTTCGGTTTCAAGCTTCTTCGTCCCGTCAGAGCCTCTACTTTACATAAGACAAAGGCAGTTAAAACAAGAGCGCCCCCACACCCGAGTCGCAGCACTATCGCTGTGTGACCGTAATGTAGAATCTACAGCTAGACTTCAGCGGAAATCATTCTGTCGCGGGTGGAAGCGCCGGACACCTAGAAGGTTAGGAGGACACATAGACTATCGGTAGACGGAAACCCCTCTCTTTCGACAACCGCCTCTTGCGTGTTGACAAAACTTTGAATCATCATCGGCTGATAGTTTGTTAACTGCGCTAGAGGATCGGAGACCTTTTCAGCAGTTGGGAGTTATTAATGACAACTGCCAACGGCCTACAGTTGAGAAAATGCAGCGCACATGTTATAAAAGCAATACAGACGGTGATCTCTGGCCCTGGTAGTCAGATCAACGTAAAAGATAGAGCAAAGATCTCAAATAAAAGAACAAACCATAATACAATGAATACTATCCGACCTTGAAACGGGATACGTCCGTTGGCCTAACAACAGGCTACCTTCATACCTACGGAGCACCGGTGAAGCTTTCTGGTCTGGCGACAATGCAGGGGCAGCCTTGAGGTGCAGTGCTAGCAGGATACGGCAACTGACTGCAGAATCCAATGAAGACAATATGCCATGCAGCGGATAAACCGCCATGACATAGAGCCCTTCTTTCTTCGCTGCCTTTTAGGTTGTATAGGAGACAACGGCATGGACTAACTGCCAAGGGTCCGCACCTCACGAAGCATCCTCAGGCAAAATCACAAAGTTAGCGACAGTCATGGGATCAAATGAGGAGCATGCAGGAGAGCTCGCTCGAAAAGGAGAGAGGCGCACTTGTAGAGAATAACTCCCAGCTGCGAGCTCGCAGAGGCGCACTTGCCACATCAGGCATCGGAAGCTTTCACCTCTACTGCGGCGATCGCGGCGGCGTCATCAAAAACGCTTGTCGACATGAGTTATGACTGCCCGGCTGGAAAGCGGCCGCAACGACGGTTTTCCCTGTGTGCCTTCGCAGCACTACGTCCAGACGATGGATGAAGGCGACCTGTGGAAAGGGGCCTTTTATGGTGAAATTCACGCCGACGTCAAGCGTGCCATTTCTGTCGTAGGGGAAGAGGGGGTGGGAGGAATACTCGGAAAAGTGTTACATGAATGGCGAGGGATGAACTTTTAGCCATCGCAGGAACCTGCTTCCGACACCCTAGGAGATATCAACTCATCCGACAGTTCGACAGCCGATTCCAACGATGTCCACCGTATGCTACACACCAAGGTGTAACAGGCACGGGGACTTGCGCGTGAATTAATTTACGGTGGTAGTAGACTTGCACAGCATCTACCGCACTCCTCCTCGCCCACCTGGACCCGGTGCCAAGTCGACACCAGCGACGACTCCCATCGCTGCTCCGTGACTCTGGCCCAACAGTGGGTTGCGCGAGTAAAGTCAGGACGATCGTAAAGCGGGTGCGAGAGCAATGACCGACAAGACTACGAAGTTCGTCTACGCGGGCCACACGCATGGCCCGATTCCTAACCCATACAGGCCGGGCGACGGCGCTGGCTGCTCGGATTTCATATGCCTGAAGGTTCCGTGGAGGCTGCACTAGAAAAAAGCCGCTGCAGCCGAGGAACCAAGTAACCTCGTCAAAGCAAATTCAAGTCCGCCAGCCCTATTTTGTGAGGAATCTGCTAATGTGCCGTGTGGATTGATTCACCATGGTCGGAAGCTCTTTTCCCTCCCTCATTTGTCGGTGGCTATCCGATACTGTAGACTGACCAAGGACCAAAACATAAACGGACCGATCTAATAGGCAATCGGCACTCGTAATTCGCTACCTGACAGTTCGACCGTCGATTTCGACGAAGTCCACCGTGTGCTACACACCAAGGTGTAACAGGCACGGAGACTTGCGCGCGAATTAACTTACGGTGGTATTAGACTTGCGCAGCATCTACCGCACTCCCTCTTTCCCGCCCAGCACTTCAATAGTGGTCAGAATCAAAATCGACAGCATGTTTACTAGAGCAAGTTGGGTCAACTCAACGCTAAAATCCTACGTGGTGCGTGGTGTGCCGACACCGATAACACGCATGGTTCTGACCCGTCTCGCCTGTCTATGGCCCAGAAGACGCGTCGACGAAAAGACACGACCTGCAAGAACACACGAAGCTACTGTTAAGGTCATTCGTCTGGCTGTCTCCGACTCCTGTACTGGAATGACGCAGACAAAAGTCTACGAGGCCCCTTTCGCAGCAGTTAATCATTTTCAACTGATCAACGCTCCGGAGCCAATCCCAGGGACTGATAGGTCACAACAGAGGTCCCCGAAAGGACTGGATGCCGCTCGCCAAGACGATCTGGCCGGCTGATGGCGCAAGGGCTGTTTGCCATCGGGATGGTCCGAACCACGGGGGCCAGCGTAGTTCAAGTAAGAAACCTGCACGGTACGACCGCAACCAACTCTGGAATACAAAACTGTTCGAGATCTTTAACTCGTTTTTAAGCCAGTGGAGATACGAGGAGGATGTACCGGATTCCGAAAGCTAACCAGTCCTAGATACTATCTGGGATAACCACGCTCGCTGTTGTGCGTCAACGTTAACAACTGGCGAGGACAGTTTTCCAGAAAATGGACTAGATGTACGGTCTTCTGGGTCAAATGCACGAAGCAGAAAGCGTTTTCACATACGACGCTTTTGCAACACCAACCATGGGAGAGCGAGCGCGACAAATAACTGTTTAAGGATGACCGTGGTGTAAGTCTTCCGGTCCTATTCCCACTTCCCAACCACTTCCGACTGATGCCGCAATGTGTGGAATGGGTCCGGTTTTCACCGGGAGTAGGATATGTTATCGAAACTTCCAACACCGCCACTGTTGCCAAGAGACCACCCTCGTCGCCCTTGCCGATGTTTCAGTCATTTTGGACTTTTTCGTTTTGGTCCCTTCGACGATGATCATTCTGAAGGATTGCAAGCCAGTGAAATTGCATGCTTGATTCAAGCCTGCTATCACAGAACAAGAGGCAATGGCCGTGTGAAGGGGTAGAAAAGTGACTTCTCTGATGTTACCTCCACCGCTACGTCAGGGTTTTGCTCGATCACGGTAGACAATGAAACTCGTGGCCTACCGAGAAAATCTCGAACCTATGGGTCAAACTTCCTTCAGAAGAGTGAAATCGGCCATTGAGTTAACGGCCTCTAAAGTCAATGTGAGAAATGCCAGAAAATTAAACTGCAGGCGAACGAAGCCTACGTCAGGAAAGGCATCACTCGCGCGGATGCAATCGATAGATCTTGGTCTACAACAAACAACTTTACAGTCGCTCGCGAACAGAATCGGTCAGCTGCGACCGCCCACTCACAGAATTCAATGGTTCGGATATGAAATGCACAGATCGGATGGTAAAGTCGTTCACGATGCCATTTTACCGAAAACGGTCCCTAATTGGTGGCGGTCCCGAGGTGGCCGATTGAAAAGGTGGTGGAGTCTGGACTTGTGGGTATATCTGGCCTGACAGTGCCAACTGGTGCCATTTCGCACAGGAGTCTACCGTCAACTGAGTTCAGTGAAGGCAATCATTATAGGTAACAGTTGCGTCAGGTATAACGAACGGCGTCATATGAACCAAACAGAACTCACCCTTTTTCAACAACGGCTTTCTTGCCACATCCTGAGGCCAATAAAGAAGGGCAAATGCCATCGTTGCGTAGGAAATAAACACCTAGGTAGTGCAAAGAGAAAAAAGCGTGGATAGGCCCTTCGCTTGCGAGCTGACAGGTAAAAGAAAGTGAAGACAAGGCCCACCTGAAGAGTGATAAAAGGCAAGTTGACGAAGCGGCGAGATGTGCCAACCTCTCCATAACAATAAGACACCGAAAGAAATCCGATGGCCATCAACGCGAACAAGAGGGATACTCGACGGGGCAGACCTCGCCTAAATCAAAGACGCACTTCACAGTAAGTGCTCAGATTAAAGACACGAGGGCTCAAGATGTCAGACCGTCCAAGTGGATGTGAAGTGGCGAAAAGGTGAAGAAACTACTGGGGTAGGAGGGGAGGGGGGGTCAGAAAAAGGAGCAAAACAAACAGCGACATCCTGGAAGTGAGCAAGGGCATAGATCCCGTTCACTTCCACTCGTATGACACGATTATATACTTATAAGTACTAGCACGTTTCTGCTCTTGGGAACAGCAAGAACAGTTTCCTCTTAATACTGCTACCAAATCCGAAGTCGCTCAAAATAACTAGGTACTCACAAAACAGCATGCGACTGTTATATAATGGCATTGTCACACAGGGCAAATAGAAACGTCCTTTTATATCAATCTGATCTGCTGAATACTTTCCTGGGGATTGGGGCTGGCATTTAACGCAAAAGGTTGCCTTACAAAAACCAGTCCTATTCAGCAACAAAGGACAGATAGATAAAGCCATAGACTGATCGGGTAGGTATAGCTCTCTAGGTAGGCATAAACCACAGAATAAAGACAGCGACCTAATTCTATAATATTCTCGCGGCCATCAAAGGTAATGAAATCGTAATACAACAAGCCCACATAACTGACTTAACTTGGTCGCATCCAAGACTCTCACCCCGCATTTTTTAAAATGCTAACTAAATTAAAATTCAGAGTCATGAACGAACCACTTCTCCTCCTCCTGCACGCACAATAGCTTGTATTTTACCGAGCTGACACCGTCCGTCAAATGAACATCAATCACGAAGCTCAACAGCATGCCCCAGAGGAAAAGGGCAAAGTAACCAGGTAAGGAAACAAGACCTTCGGCGTTGGCAAGCAGCAGTGATGACCGACGTGCCTCTTCCTTGAGTAGGCTGCTGTCCGGAGCGAGACTTTGCTCCAGTCCAAGTGAGGATAGCATTGTCTGATGACCTATAGTACAGGCTATAGAGAGCAGAAAGAGGGCATTCATTGCGCCGAAGTTGGAGAGGCGCGACAACTGGCTGCCTACGAGAAATCCGGCAAACTGTAGGAAGAAAACATGGGTAGTACAGTCTGAGTAGTAAGCGCCTACTTGTACAATGATTCCTCTTATATCCGGATAATTTGCGACTAACAGACAGTAAACCATCCGATATAGGGAGTCGACTTGAGGGAGAGTGTTAAACGCGAGAAAATGCACTGCAGGTCTTAGGTGTGTCGTCTCTACTTAATATCCATGGGTTCATTTAAATCGAAACGAACTGTCCGAATGACAGATACAACGCAAACACAGACACAGCCCTGCAAATAATCTATGAGCACAACAAGGTTACATTTTCACAGGCCACAGAAAATAAGTATGTTGAACATGCAACTACTAAACAAGTATCCCCAAAGAATGCCTGGGGAAATACCTCGGCACACATATCTGCTGTATTGTGGTGTAAACAGTCAAACATGGAAGTCAGATGACAAACCATACTTACACGAAGAACAGCCAGGGTAGCGAAAAAGTTCCAGTGCACGCCGTACTCAGTTACATGCTCCGGATAACCTAGCAGTTTGATTACTAGGGTGCGCGCGGCGCCCAAAAGGACCAGAAGTACGCTGGAGCTGAGAACAGATGAAATGGAGGAGTATGGTCGCGCGGAACGGAGAAAGTACACGAAGGGCACATTGGAGTGACCGCAGGAAACTGAAATCAGACCCACGCCTACGTCCATCAACGAGACACCATAGGCCTCTGTTTTAGCAAAACGACGTGGAAACAAGGGGAAGTCCACAGCATAGATGCATACGCAGGTGAAAAGCAGTATATAGGCTCGGAGTGCACGGCGAACAGCGTAGTAGGGCTCGAAAAGTGGTGCTGGAAGCGGTCGATTTCGAGCGTAGCAGTGGAGGAGGATTGCTGTTGTACAGGCGATCACAGTTATCTCGAAGATATATTCGGAGAGTAGTGTAACAGGCAGGACGAAGGCCGCAATGGCTAGCAGAAAGTCCAATAAGAGAACCCTACAAAGAGGGATGTTAACAATCGTTTAATAAAACCTTGGAGCATTTTCGTCATACGTACAGGAAGTTTAGAGTCCTAATGAAAAATCAAATTCAAGGAACAGACTTGCGAAAGAACTTACAACAGTCTGGGAGTCAATGTTGGATAGAGGTGGCTGATGAGGATACGTGAGAACCCGAGAGCCAATGGTAGTACCAGTAAACAAGTTAGTTCGAGAATTGTACTCCCGGTTAGATTGCTGACAAATTCTAAGTGACGTGCAGTCCTTTCAGCATCCATTTTGGAGCAGCGTGGTGGAGGCTACCAACTAAATATAGGTAGTTGGAAGAAAATGGATACAGGACAAAAGTGCGCAGGGTGTAGGCATAATTATAATCGAAATATCGCATCCCAGACATCCACAAAGGCGGCAACGTTTCGCTTCAAAATAGGTGCTCTAGATGTTGAGCGATGATGACTCATTAGCACCAGCAAATTACAAAAAATGACGCAAATGGGGATGGCCTAGATGCGATCAATTATTTCGACACGTTACCAACAGAAGATCTCTCTCGACCAGCGAGTAAAGCGTCATGTGGATTTTGAGTTCTTTCATAGACATCAGAGCCATCGCCAAATGACCGTCTGGCGAAAATCCAACGCATTATGTGCATAGTGTTTCTGCATATGGCATGTACCTCTAGTAGGCAGGATATTCTCACGGGAAACCACGGACGAATGTATAGATGGCTACGCGAACTAGAGGCATCGTTTGTTAAACGGTCCAGTCTACGCCGGGGTAGTCGCTCAGATGCCGAAAAATTCAGTAGGAGGGCACCACGTTCGGCAACGGACTTCGGATGGTTGAGTGTCAGACTGGTAGATGATGATTGCAGCAATCAGCTAGTTGTCTACTCGTTAATTCATCATACATTGCATTAGGCTACATATCTACAATGCTTCAGTGCCCGGACGAGTTATGACTAATTCAAGCGCAGTTTTCGCGTTGCTTGGCGACGAAATCACTGTCAACGCTAGTTTCATTGGCCCGAAATCATAGGATGGCATCTTCGGTCCGAAAGCATATAAGGGCATAACGGTTACCTGTGCAGTTACGTAAGTTACTGCTCGATATGCACATATATTTGCCAGGTAAAGTGCAAACGGACACGCCAGCTTATCCGATCTGGAGTCAGCTTTTACCAAACGCCTAAAAAAGTGGCTTGGCAGGTGCCGAAGAAAGGATGACGGGTAAGCCAGTTACATAGGTTTTCTAGAAATATTACTGTCCTGCAGCCGAAAAGCCCGAATTGCAGTCAGGGAACCGACCCCCACATCTATAAAGCTCCAGAAGAACGGATTGCATTACCAATGAAGGACTCAATTCCACCTACGAACGAACCACATTTTTTATTCAGTTTTCAATTTGTCTTCCCGAATTCGACCGACTTCACAGTAACTGTCCGTCACTGACGTGCTCACTGCATGAGCGTTGTAAGAAAACGTATGACAGAGGGCTTGGGAGAATGAAAAAGAATATAAACGATAAAGTAGAGTGGATTAGACAAAAGTAGGGCTTACAGAAAAGTAAGTTTCGTGAGTAATACTCTATGCGCCACTCTCGCCGTTTCCTGAGTAGTTGAAAAATCCAATACCGACTTGATGCCCACTTAGCGGTAAAAACCAGTAACTTATCTGGAAAAATCTATATCGACTCGATGTAATTATTTCTTACTTATGACCTCGTCAGAACATAAATAATGACTAAATTCCGCTGATCGCAAAACAGTAAAGATAACAGTGGTCGTGGTGTTCGTTCGTGTGCGGCGATCAAAAATCACGGCTCTGACGGAGTGAATTAATTTCAGGAGATCTTAGAAGCAGTTAATGTTGAAGAAAACCATTGGTCAAGAAAGACCTTTGAGATATAAAAGTACGAGACAACCGTGAAAACAAATTATGAAGTATGAGTATGTCGTCAACGTTTCAGCCCCAAAAAGTGAATATTTGGCCCAGCAAGAATGCCTAATGCTTTCGATGGAGGAGCAGTAACACATAACCATCAAGTAAAATGAATTATGAGATTATACGCAGCGCCAGCAATTCGGCACATATAAACAAAATGTGTTTCGGTCACCTAGCGGCGGACTCGTGGCCCTCACACAGGGGCCTTGGCGACCAGCTCTTTTGTGAATAGAAAATTTGGAAAAATGAACAATAAGAGAGGAGCCAAAGTGCTCAATTAACGTCAAAGAAATGGTGGACATGAGAATGGCAGCCAGTGAGAAGACAATCTACTATATTTTAAGACGAAAAGACTAGATTGTTAAGATGTGCATTAAGACGAGAAATTAAAACAGAAATTTGGCGAACGAAGAAAAGCTGACGGGCTCTTAGAGAGCACAGATAAAAACGACAGAGAAGACATCAATAAAGCATGAGCATACCCACTGCAAACGTCAAGCTGGACTTGCGGACTTGAAGATAGCATTACAGGACCGACGCGCGCCAAGTGCGGGGTTAGCGCGCGATACTGTCGTAGTTAAGTGCAACCTGCGGCCTAATTATGTGTATTAACATATCTAGGCTCGGGAAAAGCAAAAACTACGCTGACTCCAAGAGAAAATCGATGTCCATAAAATAATCCGCATGCGATGGCCAAACGACTCCCGCAGGTTGCCTACCCCAGCGCTTTACGGAATCTTAAGGAAACCTCTTCCACTGTTGAACTCGCACGCTCAATAAATGCCGCCATTGTTTACGGAACGTCCTTGAAAATACCCAACACTACCATGTTGGGAAACTCCACTGCCACATCGTCTATTCCTCTAGCGATTGTATATACTTCAACCAGTCCTGAAAGTCGCGATTGCTATCACATCGTGCGTAGTTGAGGCATATCCTTCAGTTGATCTGAGTGAGGATGACGAGTATAACGAACAACCTAGTCCCTTGGTCTTAAATCTTTTACAAACTCTCGATCCAGTCTACCACGCCCGGGCATTCCATTCACTAGTGATTCAGGCGCTCTGAGCTACGAGAACTTGATGGTACGTTGATGGGGCAAGTTTGTAAAGGCAGGCGCATAGTAAGCATAGCATCATGCCACATGAATGAAAACGAGAAGTGTGATTCCGTTTACCTCCATGTCTGTTTATTTACCTCCCCTTTGAAGATTCTCAGGGTTTTCCTCCCTTTTCAGGCATTTCACATCAAGGAAGGTCTGACTTATTGAACCCTCGTGTCATTGATCCGAACTCTTAACAGGTTCGCTGAATTTGGTAGAAGGGGACTCTGCAGCGAAATTGAGCCCGTTGGCTCGCTGGCCACACATGTTGAGGACCACAGGCCTACGGGTGCTCTCAAAACGCCTGCCCATTATTTCGATCGGCGGCCTTAACAGTATAATCAACCATGGACGAAACGACATCGCGAACGATCTCAGGAGTGAGCGGCCACTTCATTCTGCAAGTGAAGCGGGGCAATTGACTGACTCTTTTTGAGTGCGGATTATAACCGTTCGTTGGTACGAGATTGGAGGCAAAATCGGAAACCCGAAGGAAAGGGTTGGCTACCTCAATAGGAAATAATTTGTCTACATGGTCCCATGTGTCAGCTGTGATACTGCCTATTATGGCCAGACTAGAAAATCTGTCTCAACTCGTTTAAAAGGGCATCACTTAGAGGTGTTACGAGGTAATCTATCACAGGTAGCCATGCACACACTGAACACGGCATGGATTTGCGTAGAACACTCACATCGCAGGCGCTCGCCCAGTCAGAGAAGCCGTGAATTCCTGGAAGTAATGCACTCCGATGTAGCATGCAGCAATCCGCATACAAGCCTAAATTTCTCGAGGATGGGTGGAAGCGAGCGCACTCAGTGCCGAGGGGACGCCGAAGTACAAATAACGCGCATTGGCGCAGGCTTCAGTCAACCGTAGAATCACATGTAAGAGAAGATTATGTGGTTAACGTCTGACGACCAGCTGTGGAATCAGTCTTGAAAATGCACGCAATAAAGTTATTTTGTTCCTGAAGAGTCTCATTTGATATGTTTCTGCAACTCAGTTTATATGGCCTACGACGCACTGATAACCGGTAACCACCGTGAGGCAGCCGTCTGCGTCGAGCTTGTTGCACTTTTAGTGAGATGCTTACGTAATACATACATATATGTTTATATGTACTGAACTCACTTGTCCCGTTGGGCTTTAGGGCTCTCACTCGATTCCAACCAGCAGCCGCACAGCAGCGCATGATATAGGCAGAATGGCATTATCGACAAAGACAAGGGAGACTGGAATAGCTATTTTTGGCTTATTTGCCGTCGTCAACCAGTCGGTAATATCATTCTGCATATATCACGTGCCGCTGTGCGGCTTCTGGTTGGGTTCGAGTGAGGGCCCATAAGACATAATGGGACGATGGAGTTCCATAGAAAACGATCGGTGAGCGCACCCTCTACCTTTATGTACACACATAATGGATCGGCGCGCGCCCATTTCTGAATAAATACCCGATATGCAGCGACAGAGAATGAGAGGTGGCGAGGCACTGATTAATTTCGGTTTGATGAAGTGCTTATGCCCCATCTGGTAGACCCCAGTGGTGGACCAGCTGCGCCAGGTGTGAGCGCATGTTTGTGTTTCCGGTCCTGGCTGGTGACAAGGGTTACTATTGGCTGGATGAGGGCAAACAAGCCCAAAAACAGTGCTGTATCAATCTACTCCCAGACTCTGTCGTCTACCCTCAGATATGCCCGATCAAAGCCGAAAGAAGAACGAGCCCATGGCTCAATGACAGTGTCAAACCAAATGACCAAAGATCTTGGATTCGAATCTCAAGTGATCCACACTTGGGGTTGGTTATGACTGGATGGTGATGGCTAATGAGCCAGAAATGGTCATTCCGGTATCGCTTGTCTTTGTCGATACAATCTCATTTACTTATCCTACTAGTCGCTGTGCGACTGCCTGCGAGGGTTCTAGTATGGGCACGTCCTGTAACCTGATCGGTGACCGCCCATCTGCCGTTACATATACATTAATATAGTAGAGGGGCGCTCACCCGTCGTTCTTACGGAACTCACTCTCCTCGCTATGCCTTACGGGTTCTCTCTCGAACCCAACCAGCAGCCGCACAGCAGCGCATGATATAGGCAGAATGTTATATATATTGGCAGAACTCACCTTAAATACGCTAATGCCCTAACTACTCGCTGGCGGAAAGGTAGCAGGTTAAGCCGGAAGCTCAGGTGAAAGAAGGGAAAAAGAAGGCAATGAAGGTGGTATGACAGCAGGAGGACAGCGACTCACCAAGGTGTGGCCGATACCGCCTAACGAATTCCAGACCAAGGGTCTCTGCAAGACATCGAGAACAATAAATAATCATGAAAAGCAGGCATTTCAAGGAAAATGGCCGCTCCCCCTTCGATACGCGCGAAAACGAATAGTAAACAGTGTATTTGGATGACAAACCTCTTTTCTTCCGTTCCTTTTTCGACAGTTCTGAGTAACTGTTGCCGGCACTCTTGTCGGGTTCGGGAGCTGTGATCACCGAAGGCGGGAGGGCAATGTTGTCATCGTCACCGCGACCATACGTTCCGCGGTGATCCCCGGTGTTGTTGGTGTTTTCCTCCAGTGGAGGAGGCGATCTGGATTCTTCTCTCCATCCGTGGCCATGTCGTTCTCGGGCAATGTGGCCTTCATCTCAGAGGATGGGGATGCGGTGGTGTCGTGTTACGACTCCCTCTATAATAAAGATGCATACGAGACTGCCTATTAATATTTGATAGTAGCCACTTCATGTGTACTGAAGACAACCAGCCGGGAAAATAGTGTTTCAGGTCAACAGGGATGTAAGGGATGACTAAGGACAAGATGCGCTTGCGCCACATGTCAAAATCGCTTGTGATTTGATCGATGTTATTTCTGAAAGTTTCGCTGAGAGCAGCCTGTGTCGTCGAAAGAAGATGGAACGCCAAGGCCAGAAGGAACGCAGGGGTCTGGATGCTTGACGAGACTGGACTTATGCACCCAACCTCAATCCAACAGTTCGCTCCACAAATGGGTAAGTTGCCTATAAAGGAATGCGAACTAGTCAGCTTTACAACCAATCCAGATGGCCTATTCAATAAATCCAGCCTGTTCCGCATGGAAAGCAAAAACCAACGAGTGCAACCACTCAATCTGCCTGCCTTCTGTTTTCGAGATTCTTACCATAAGAGGTAGTGTGGAAGGTGTCTTGGTAGATACTCACACAACGAGAAACCTTGACGTGGATCATATCGGACCAGACACCAGATCTGCCAGCAACAAACAGTGCCACCACAAGCGTGCCATAACACAAGTACGCATACAAACACTTCAATTGGTAGAACCATCTTCACCATTTGTGCAGCAAACAACTCATGCTCAACAGCTTGCCAAAAAGTGAAGCAGAAGAAAAACGAAAAACGTTCGACCTATCTTTTTTATTGTTCAACTTCAAAAAGGTAACAAAACAAACTACGGAAGCAAACCTAGAAGTCATTGGAATCACAGACAGGAGGAAGACCGTACTGACGGCGAAAGTGTGCATCGTGGGCGAGAAAGACTCATGAAGGGGACGCAATCTGCTGACACCAACGTACGGTTCGTCTACTTTCTCCGGAGGTTGGGGGACGACCGGACAGAAGTCACAAGCTTGCATTTCCCACTGCTCAAAAAACACGGGGAAAGAAAGGCCTTAACGACTAAACCAACAAGGCGCTAGAGCTCAAATAGCATGCGGACGGTCTAAAAGTAGACGTCCAAGACTCGACGACGAAGGAAGCCCGTTGCCAGAGGGGAGATGATCACATAGGCAGTCAGGAGGCAGAACTGACAGGCGTTGCTCAACCAGACTGGGCGCATATCTCCCAGCTCCAGCGTGTCGATCAGGAGGTTCAGCGAACCCGTCATGATGTTTGAGACAAGGAAGTAAAGCATGGAGTTCCCGGAGACTATGGTTATTAGCGGCATCAGGTCTAAAATGCAGAAATAAGAGGTGAGATGTGGCAATGGACTCGCAGTTTTAATAGGATACAAAGCCTGCAACACTTAATTGAGGTAACCGGAAAAGAGGGCTCAGGCATTATGCTTTCGGGAACTACGGTGTTCGCTTATTGATTAATTCATCTATTACATTCCCCCACCCCCTAACTAGATGCACTGTCACGCATGACTCAAACCAATGTCAAACAAGCCTGTGACGCATTTTAGCCCTTTAGGCGACGCAGCACTTAACTGAGGTAACAAAAAAGAGGGCCCAAGCATTACGCCTTCAGTGGCTAGGGCATTCATCTATCGAGTTATTCGTTGATAACCTGCCCCCCCTCCTCCCGGACCAGTTGCGCAGTCGCGCACGACAAGCCTATGATGCATTTTAGCCCTTAAGGGACGCAGTGAATTTGAGATGTAGGCGCTAGATGCAACCTTCACGGCATGTTATTCGCTGTGCCCGGTCTCAGCTGCCGGCGATTTTACGCAGACTAGCGACTGATGCAAGACGAGTGCGCAGATGATCCGGTAAGGAGTCAGTGCAAACATTGCTTTCTACAAAAGTCGACGCGCACTCAAACTCTTAGGAGGCGCTGAAATTCGTGGCTAGCTTGGTTCCCTTAGGAATTGAGGATGAAGAAACAATAGCTCATTCTAAATGCAGTCTTTGTACCAAACCCATCGCCGTGGGAAAACCGGAGACCGCGTCAAACCCAGGCTCGTACGTGGCACGCGTCAAGTGGGGCAAAAATTTTAACCGTTTATGCGCTCCCAACCCATAGCCACCCGTCTTTGTCTATTCATTTATAAAATGGCAAGTGTAAGAACTTGGGATGAAGCAGATGCTGCAAGAATCCCCCTCATTTTAGATAACTTTATGTCCAAGTCGTCACTGCGTTCTCAGACCAGTTGCGGTCTTCGTCGCTACGAAATTTAACGCGCACTCAAACTCCTGGAAGATGTCAAAATTCGCGGCAAACTTGGTTCCACTAGAGATTGACGACAAGGCCACTATGGCTACTCCTAAAGGTGGTCTTTATAACAACCCTCCGCGGTGGAAAACCTCAGACAGCGTCGGCTGAAGTTAAGTTCCGGCGCGTGCGTGGTACGCTTAGAAGTAGGCACGATCTTGATCGTTTCGACGCAGACGACCCATATCCACCCACCTTTGTCTATTCATTTTGAAAATGGCAAGTGAACGAACCTGTGGTACAACTGTGTTCCTATCTACATGCAACCTTCTGTTTCAAGCTTCTTCGTCCCGTCAGAGCCTCTACATTACATAAGACAAAGGCAGTTAAAACAAGAACGCCCCCACACCCTCGTCTCAGCACTATCGCTGTCGCTCCGTAATGTAGAATCTACAGCTAGGCTTCAGCGGAAACCATTCTGTTGAAGATGGAAGCGCTGGACACGCAGAAGGTTAGGCGTACACATAGACTACCGGTGGACCGAAACCCCGCTCTTTCGACAACCGTCTCTTGCGTGTTGACAACAATTTTTACTACTCTGAATTATCATTCGCTGGTAGGCTAGTCCCACTAAAAGACTGCAGACTTCTTACGTGGTTGGGAGCTGATGGTGGCAACTTTCAACGGTCGACGACCGAGAAAATAGTAGCCAGGGAGGTGATAATGGCTTAAATGATACAGCAAGAATGAAGGAGGCGCGCTGGAGGCTTGGTAGACAGGTGCAGGAAGAGAACAGCACAGAGATAGAAAACAAAAGTACAAATCATAGTAGAATGAATGTAATCTAGGTAAGAGGAAATGTTGGGTTCATTACTTCGGAAACCGCACATGTGGAACACCATGCAAAGCCTAGGGCACGATAAAAGTACCCTCTGAATTACATTTTCGTGCCGTGTCTACTTATTCGATTTAAGTAGCTGGGAAAAGGTAGTTCAACAACAGATAGGGACGCCCAGCCACCCGGACAAGGACGTTATATATGTATGTACCGGAAAGATGGAATAAACCTGTTAACCCAGCTACAGACCAAGCATCACACTCACGAGTAGCGGATAGTGGGGCTTTTTTGATGTTTGAGCTCGCGACTAAGCGGGAGGGCGAGAATTGGGACCGGGTGATTGGCTGCTCTAAAAAACCCGGGGGCGGCACTGCAACGTGCAGAGCACAAACCGTCGTTAAATAGAGCCGTCGTACCTTCGATTTCTGGCAGGCTGCATCAATATCCATAAAACAGGTCAACGACCAGGAGAGACCGACTTGCACTAACTCGTCTGCGTTTCTATCTTATGAGAGTTCCTCAACCGCAAATGACAGCCACGGCGGCAATTGATGGGTCTGGACTTCTAACAATGGGCCGAGTGATAGGTGTGTAAGATGACCTTTCCAAAGAAAGGATTGTGCTACAAAGTGAGAACTGGTGACGCGTAGCCTCACTAGACGAGCGTTCGGCGGTGCCTGTCGTTCCGAGGCACACTTGCCACAGTATAGGTCACACATTGTTAAGTTGCTGGAGCCCAAGAATGCTGACACTCCTACTACGAAGGTGTCACCAATAAGTCTTCTCGAGGACTGGCCTTGTTTGTCTTCGTGCAGTTGCGGTCTACGACCAAACGATGGATTTGGACGATAGGTACTTGTACTCGGTACGGCTGCGGTCATGCCTGAACTAGCCAGCCTCGATGATGTCGCGAACTGAACTTCTCCAAGCGTGACGATCCGCGGCAGCAGCAGACCTGGATAGTTCAACGCATTCTCTTCGCCAACGACGGAGACCGAATACCGAAGGTCCAAGAGCCACCTCCATGCCCCCAAAGAACTGTGCCGAGCGAGGTTTTGAGTTGACCCACTCCACTTCGACGCCTCCAATGGGGTAACGGTGCCGGATCGAGCGCAGTAACACCGAGCTTCTGATGTAGACGACGAAAAACATACCCAAACCACCTCAGTCGCCTTTCTTCGGTAACCTGGATTATCCATGCGATGTCGTCGCGGCGAGCGCGGACTGTTTCATTTGAGACGAAATCGGTGTAGTTCACTCGAAGGATGGTCCTCAAGCAGTGGTGGTCAAATACCTCAGTTTTTGCTCGTCTTCAACGCGCACAGCCCAGCACTCACAACCATAAAGGACAGACGCGCGGTACACGCGAATCTTAGTGGCGATGGAGAGGTCGCGTGAGATCTACCGGCATTTTCTAAGGCTTGAGAAGACCCGTCGGGCAGTATCAATGCGGGAGACAATGCCATCTTTACTCTGGCCATTCGGCAGCAGCCTCGCCCCGAGGTATTTAAAACTGTCTGCTTCAATTTGTCAGCCATCAATCCCAGGAGGGGCCTCCACCTGGTCAGGAATGAAAACACTTCAGTCTTCCCAGCGTTTATGGATAAACCGACGATTTAGCGACCCCGTTCACCCGTGACACCACTGACTGCAGATCATCAAAACTTGAAGCAAGTAAGGCGATATCATCGGCATAGTCGAGATCAGTCAGTCGGTGTCCAGATGCAAATCCAACACCGTCACTTTCGTGTAGGGTCCTCCCGAGATTCCAGTCAATAGCGTAGTCGAACAGAATGGGCGACAGGAAACAAACCTGTCGAACGCCAGACCGAATACCAAACGGTTGGAAAAGATTGTTGCGGACTGGGACTCGCGCGGTGGTGGAGCGATTTGCAGGAGGCCATCATATGCAACAGGGGAGGGGGGCGGGGGGGGGTACTTGGAAGACTGCTGCATTAACGGTGAAGGACAGTCAATTTCGCTGCGATGAACCATTAGATGTTACAGGAGTTTGATTCCGACGCCTTGGGAGATATCTAGTCAACTGGTAGTTCAATGATAGGCAAATGGACTACACGTTTTCAAGAGCACGTTTGGTTAGCCCAGTGCTGCACCGCCACGCGATGTATCCCGCCAATACGAAAATGATCCTGACTACGCCGCTGAAAACGTACTGTCGAAAAGGCACGACCTGTAAACAAACATAACGCTGAGCGTATCATGGAACTTGCTGCTGTCTCCAAACCCCTTAATTGCATTGACGCAGACAAAAGTCTACGAGGCCACTTTAGCCGAAGTTAATCAGCTTCAAATGAAACAGGCTCTAGAGTCAACCCCAGGGGCTGTTAGGTCACAATAGAGGTCATCTAAAGGACTGGATGCCCACCGAGACGATCTGGTTGGCTGATAGCGCTAGGGCTGCTTGCAATCGGGATGGTCCGAACTATGGGGACCAGAGTAGTTTAAACAAGCACCCGGCACGGTACGACCGCAACCAACTTTGGAATACAAAACTGTGCGAGATCACTAAATCGCCTAGGCCAGGGAAGATACAAGGAGGCTGGGCTGGATTCGGAAGGTCAACCAGCCTTTGGTTCTATCCGGCACAACCAAGGGATGATGGTATGCATCAGTGTTGGCATTAGTAAAAATTAGGAATCCCAGCGCATCTATTGAGAACTGTTATCCAGCAGAAATGCTGTTCAACCGTACCGACAGACTAACTGAACGGCATCCTGCAGCGCATGCGGGAAGCAGAAGGCGTTCTCACAGACTGGTGCGATGTTTTTGCAACAACATCCTTCCGGAGGAGCGACAGATGACTGTTTGAGGACGACTGTGGCGTATCTTTAAGTGTTCAGTTTATCTTCTCCTCTTCCTGTTCCTTCTGAAGGGCTTCCACTTATACTGCGATGTGTGGACAAAAGAGAATGAGTGGGGTTTCCAGCCGGGGAGAAGTGCGCAGACCAGCATTATCCTCTCTTTTGAACCCTCGAACACCGGAAATGCTGTCAATAGACCATCTCTTTCGCGGATTTTGCGTCTACCGGGTCCCGTTGAAGTTGATCCTTGTACGCGATGGCATCCAAGTGAACTTGCTTCATTTGATCCAAGTCCGCTACCACGGAATAAGCTTCTAAGTCCGCTTGAATGGGTAGAAGTGTGACTTCTCCGATGTTACCTACGCCTTCACGTCAGGGTTTTGCGATCAAAGATACCAATCCGGTCACGACAGATGATGGAATTCTTGGCATAGTGGACAAATCCAGCTAACCTGGGTGGAGATTTCTGTTGAGTAGGCCGATTAACAGGTCGAGACGGTCATCAGACCAATCAGGCGAGCGCGCGACCTTTCGTCTGATTCCGTCGACACCTCTGGAGTCGGTGTGAGATCTGTCCGAAATTAAAGCCATGAGTATACAAGGCCTCTGCCGGCACGGACTTTCTGTGTGGATGTGGGGCATGGCCCCTAAGGTCAGGAGATTCCGCCCGCCTGCACGTGTTCCATCGCGATACTGTTTGCTTCCCATTCTCTGAATTTCTCGTCGTTAACGAACAGCCGCACACGAATCGAATTGGTCAACTACGCCTTCCTCATTTGCCAACGACATGCTTCGGTTGGAGTGCCCTCCGACACGACGGTGAAATCATCCACGATCTCATTTCGCATGAGCCCGACCGCGGATGATGATGATGACGACGTTGGGGTCGCCGATCAAAAACATGGGTGGGTGTGGTGAGCGCTCCTTTGGCCTTGCGGTCCTCAGTTTGCGTGGCCAACTGGCTCAACTTCGCTCGGGATTCCGCCCCCAACCTACTTAAATGGATGGCAAATATTTGTGATGTGTTGAACTGGCGGCAAGGACACAGCTGAATCATTTATAGTGAACGCCGTTGCATGGACAAAACAGTACTCACCCTTTTTCACTGACGATTTTCTTGCAGGATCTCGATACAAACAGAGAAGTGTGAATGCCGCAATAGCGTAGGAGATGAACGCCTAAGCCGTGTAAAGAGAAAAGAAGTGAGGAGGGCGATTGGTTTGAGAGCTGACAAATAAAAGAAAGTGAAGGGGGGCCCACCTGAAGACAAATAAATGGCAAATTGACGAAACGACGAGATGTGGCAGCCTCTCCATACCAATAAGTGACCGAAAGAAATCCAATGGCCATTAACGCGAGCAGAAGAGATACTCGGCGGGGCAGACCTCGCCTAAAGCAAAGGTTATATTCACAGGAACTTAATATGGACTCGGACCAATGGCACAAGGGCGAAAACTGTCGAATCGTTCATGGGCCAAAAAGTTGTGAAACGCCCGAAAAGTGAAGAAACTACTGGGAGAGCTGGAAAGGAGAGAAAATCGAACGGAATCACAGCTATCGCTTCCAGTCATATAACACGGTCCTATGCCTAAAAGAAGCGGAACTCTCCTGTTCTTGAGGAAAACAGCAAGAACAGTTTCTTTTTGTCGCTGCCACGTAGCCCTTTCAGAGCGCCAGGACTATGCCAACAGTCGCGTCCATTAGTGACAGAAACAAGGGAGACTGGAATGGCCATTTCTGGCTTATTAACCGTCGTCAGTCAGCCATTCCCAGTACCGAGGTGAACAACCCCTGGGGTTCGATCCTGCGAACTGTTGGTTAATAGTCCGAAGCCTCTAACAACGGAGTCACAGGCTCGTTGTCCTGTCGGTAGTGATGGGGTATACACAATGGTAGTGAGACGCTCACCGACTGCTCTACAGAACTCGGTCGCCCCACTAAACTTTGGGGCTCTCTTTCAAGTCCAACCAGCAGCCGCACTGTGGCGCATGTTATAGGCAGAATGACATTACCGACAAAGACAAGGGACAGCGTTCTCCGTCAACAGAGAACACATGGAATATAGTTGCATAAAATGACTGCGCGTTGTGGACCAAATGAAAACCAAATTAAAATTCAGAGTCATGAACGAACCACTTCTCCTCCTCCTGCACGCACAATAGCTTGTATTTTACCGAGCTGACACCGTCCGTCAAATGAACATCAATCACGAAGCTCAACAGCATGCCCCAGAGGAAAAGGGCAAAGTAGCCAGGTAAGGAAACAAGACCTTCGGCGTTGGCAAGCAGCAGTGATGACCGGCGTGCCTCTTCCTTGAGTAGGCTGCTGTCTGGAGCGAGACTTTGCTCCAGTCCAAGTGAGGATAGCACCGCTTGATGACCTATAGTACAGGCTATAGAGAGCAGAAAAAGGGCATTCATTGCGGCGAAGTTGGAGAGGCGCGACAACTGGCTGCCTACGAGAAATCCGGCAAGCTGTAGAAAGAAAAGATGGGTAGAGCAGTCTGAGTAGTAAGCAAGGGAAGACTTAAAAGTTGCGGACGATAAGTAAGAACAGCCTCTCTCACTCTCCAGGGCCTGTCTACGTGCATTCTTGGCTGCGGTTGACAAACATAGCGCCTACTTGTACGAGGTTTCCTCAAATGGCCGGACAATTGGTGACTAATAGTCAGCAAATTATTCGATATAGAAGGCCAACTTGAAGGAGAATACCGAATGCCAAGCAGTGCACTGGAAGTTTTAAGAGTATCTTTTACACCGAGTTTCCTTGAATAAAGAACATAACGATTGTTCACAGAATATCCGCAAGTTTACTTAAATTAAAAGGAACACTTTGAACGACATATGCGACGCAAACACAGGCGTAGCCCTGCAAATAACCTATGAGCACAATAAGATAACATTTTCGTAGGCCACAGAAAAGTAGTCTGTTGAACATGCAACTACTGAACAAGCATCAAAAAGAATGCGTGGAGAAATACAAATTGCTGTTAGGCAATGCATTATCGAAAGGACAGCCATGTATTCTAATACTGTGAAAATGAAATCTGTTGCACCAGTAACTCGGAACAATCGTCCGCTATATTGTAGTTCAAGCTGTCAAACATGTCAGTTAAATGACAGACCACACTTACACGCAGAACAGCCAGGGTGACGAAGAAGTTCCAGTGCACGCCGTACTCTGTTACATGTTCCGGAAAACCTAGCAGTTTGATTACTAGGGTGCGCGAGGCGCCTAAAAGGACCAGAAGGAAGGTGGATCTGAGTACAGGTGAAATGGAGGAGTATGGTCGCGCGGAACGGAGGAAGTACACGAATTGCACATTAGAGAGACCACAGTAGAGTGAGATCAGACCCACGCCTATGTCCATCAATGAGACACCATACGCCTCTGTTTTAGCAAAACGACGTGGAAACAAGGGGAAGTCCACAGCATAGATGCATACGCAGGTGAAGAGCAGTATATAGGCTCGGAGGACTCGGCGCCAAACGTAGAGAGGCTCGGAAAGAGGTGGTGGAAGCTGTCGATTTCGAGCGTAGCAGTAGAGGAGGATAGCTGTTGTGCAGGCGATCACAGTTATCTCGATGATGTATTCGGAGAGCAGAGTGACAGGCAGGACGAAGACCGCAATAACCAGCAGAAAGTCCCACACGAGAGGCCTACAGAGAGGGGCGTTTCGAACCGCTTAATGAAACCTTGACGCATTATCGTTGTACGTACAGGAAATTTAGAGCCTTGATGGAAAATCAAATTCCAGGAACAGCTTTGCAAAAGAACTCACGAAAGTTTGGAAGTCACTCTTGGATGGAGATGGCCGATGAGGACGCGTGAGAATCCGAGAGCCAGCGGAAGCACCAGAAGACAAATTAATTCGAAAATGGTGCCTCCAGTTAGATTGCTAACAAATTCTAAGTGACGCGCAGTCCTTTTAGCATCCATCGCGAAGCAATGTGGTGAAGGAGGTCAGTAGCTGTGATGATGATATTTAGGCCAAAATTAGAACCGAAAACGCATAATGTGCAGAAGAGCATCATAAATACGGAACGAAAACCCAATGCAGCCCAAGGTAATTATGTTAAGTGCTATTACACCCCTTAACTATAGCTATTTGCGAAAAAACTAAATACAGGACTCCGAGTATCGGCAACTGTCCCATGTTTTGCAGAAAATTCGCGAAGTACTCGCGGAGACTTTCCCATAAGTCGTTTTTATGTCGTAAGGAAAACGTCCTACGCTCTGAAAATACAGCTAAGGAAAATCGAATGAAATAATGAAACCAAGTGTTATGAAGCCATCCAGTGAGGTTTTATAGCCCGACATAGTATACTGCGGTGCAGGCTGAGGGCCTTTAAAGACAGCAATTTGGAAAAGGTTCGAATCAACCACACTTGCCCAAGCAAACTAGAGCAAAAAAGTCAGTGACTGAAAATCGCGAATTACCGATCGCCTACCCGGATCGCCAGCATTCATTTCATGCCGCAACATCCGCATGACGCAAACTCACCTAGTTAAGATATTATTCATCGCTATAAGGATGGCATCGACAATGATGTTTTACCAGACTCCATGACTTAACCTCATGGCTAACCAGAAAGGATTCGACTAATCAATGACCTGAGCGGTGGAGGCAGCTTTCTCTTTTAGTGGCTGAAAGGTTATGAGAACGCAAAGTTGCACTGGCTGTAACCCACTGGTATCTCTGACAGAAAGGTTAGGTGAAAGACGATAAATACGAAAGAAATGTTGTGGAGGAGAAGACAAAATATTAGTAAGTTTCCAGTTTTTACATGAAACATACGACAGCATGTACACAAGCGCAGAATTCTGTACTTGATGGTTAACTATCAGAGAAAATAGGATCAATTAGTCGCACGTTTGCATAATATTAAGCATGAGCACTGCCTCGGTAATTAACTGCACACGGAAGAAGATTCTGCTGCCCCAGGGGTCGTCGGTTTCTCGGCTAAACTAGGGGCTTATTGCGTGTCTACGACGCGTAGTCACGCGGGATACAGTCACTTCCTACTTAAGCACAGTAAGCATGGTCGAATTCAGCTGTTCAAAAAGGCAAGTTGGAATGTTAGCTTCAATCAATAATCACGTCTTTAAACGGATAAACTAACTCTGAATCGAGAAACATTTAACGATGAAAAAAACAGGTAGTCAACACATTTCTTCGCAAATATAAAAGTGGAGGAAAATCCTGAGAACCAAATGCGAAATGCACATATGTCGCCAAATCGCCTGTTTTAAAATGTGAATGACTAACACAACTGAGAGTGCATAATGTCTTCCTAGGCAAAGCAGTAGACAGTCCCAAGGCACAGTGAGATCGTATGACGCGCAAGTAATTGAGCACACAAAAACGATAAGGAGTTTATTCAATAAATCAGCTGTGAAATCAATGAAGTTATGGCGAAAATTTAGACGTTCGAATAGCCTATTGTTTTACGGTCAGAATACGGACGGTTATGAAACACATGTTAGACGCTAAAGTACTCGAAATACATCCAATATAGGACGAACAGGGCGACGACAGCAAGCAGACGGAAATCACGCAGTACTCAAAGACACTGCGACGAGACTACCAGCCCGTTAATAGGAATTCAAAGTTGAAAAATGAATATATGGCAAACGACATGCCAGTCTAGGTCTCCAGTAACATCTGCAAGGTGTGGCACACTTTTTCGGGTTTTGAAGCCCCTGAGAGTAAATGTGGTCATTCTGCGTGAGTCGGAGAGAATTTTGACTTAATAAACCAAAATATAAAAACACAATGGATTCCTGGTGCGCGCCAGAGCTACTGGTCTAAACGATGGGATAAGCATTAATAATAATGGAAGTGAACTTAATCCTGGGTATTGTGCCATGAAATCGCCTCCCGCCAAACAGGCAAAGAACTTAATAAGTTTGATGACTGTTAATTACGAAAATGAGACCTTGTAACACGCTTTAGATCCCTCTAGAAACTTATAGGGATGGAGAATCATACATAGGGTCTCAAAATGATGGTGGAGAAGCTGAGAAAACGTCCTCTCTTTTAATCTAAATAGGGCAGACCAGTGAAAACAAAAGTTCAGAATGAAAAGAAAACGCACGCAGGCACGGTTCCCTTTGATACAACAACTAATGGGAAAGACGACGATACGTCTACATGTTTCGCCAGCATCGCTTACTGGTGTCTTATACGAAAAGAGGACGACGGTGGGGGGTCTCCGGAAATGAAGAGACGTCTCGGAGCATCCACAAAAGATAGAGCAGGCCAGGGCGTTAGAATAAAGGAGTCGAGTTTAAACCTACAACAAGTAACAAATGCGTTGCCGAATGTCGCAGACGATCAGAAAGCCTGTGAAAGCGCAGAACCATGCGTTAATTCTGTCATTCCATTCCTAAATAAATCGCAAGGCAATGAGAACCAGAGTAGCCATGATGTGGTGTTTGAAAAATTAAAAAAAACTACAGGGCTCTTAAGTGGATCACATTAAATGCATAGTCATCAATGACATGTCAGATTCTACTTTCGAAACGTCAAACGAAAGAATACACAATGATGCGAGACTAGTCTGACAATGGTCGTACATCCGTCTATAGTCGAACGAGATAGTTACCGTTCAAAAAGCCTACTACGCCGACCGAATAAGAGGCTCAGGTGGTGAGTCAGACCAGTCAAGACAGTTTACGCTGGTTTTTCAGAATGAGGAAGAAACCCAAATACTGCTGAGCAGAAAACCCCTAATCCGGAACGCCCATCCGAAGGTTTTTCAGCAGGACATTTCGTCCGCAGAACGGAAATAAGGGTGGAGCTCAAAATAGAACTCCTCATGAGATCTGTTCATCTTTTCCAGCTCCTTTTCCAGACAACTGTGGCAAGCCTCATGAAAAAACACGAACCAACTGTGAGACCACCACTTAAAGGCTGGCCAAATAGACTGACAACCGGCAACTAGCAGACACCCAAATTTATTCACCTCCAAAGTAATTTCAAGGGTAGGCCGATATCAAAGTTCCTCAATTTCCATGAAGGGCATATTATTCGTGCCCCCAAAAACTACCAAAATGCACACTTCAATTTTTATATTATGCATATCCTTCCTTTTTAAATCTTTTGCGAGTATTCTGCCCTGGAACTCAGGTTTATGTTAACCTAAAACAAACTTTTCATTCGCGCTATACTGGCTAAACAGACACTCAAGAAATAAACGAAGTGAAAGTGCAGTCGAAATTGATGAGTTTGGTTTAGGTTTTTTCCTGAGTTCAAAGGAGACTGACAGAGCGTCGACTGATAGCAGAATCCATTACATGTCTCAAGAAGTTTTACGGGTACATCCGCAGTAGGAGGAAACATAGGGACGAAATTGCGTGTCTAAAGGATAGCCTCGGAAACTTATTAGTTGAAGGGTCACAGAAAGTGCGATTATTGTCTCAGTTTTTTCAATCGGTTTTTACGGAAGAGTCCCTAGAAGACAATCAGCAGTTTTAAATGGACCGAGACAGCCGGGAGCTTCAAATGCGCCAAGATATTGCCGTCATTATAACCGTCGCCTTTTCCGTGGAAGAAGTCGGACGAGTCCTCAGTCAAATAAAACCTGATAAGTCTCCTGGACCCGACGGAATTCCCGGGCTGATACTTAAGGAGCTATCAAGGGAGCTGTCAAAGCCTCTTTCGACTCTCTTTGAGCTGTCAATGAGAACAGGAAGGCTGCCCTCACAGTGGAAGACAGCTAACCTCGTTCCATTGCATAAGGGAGGTAGCAGGATGACAACAAGCAGCTTTCGACCTATTAGCTTAACTTGCCTCCCTTGCAAAACGATGGAAGCTATAGTAAAGAACGCTATACAGCAATTTTGTGAAGAAAATAACATCTTGCAGGATTTTCAACATGGCTTCAGGAGAGGACGTTCCTGCCTCTCAAATCTGCTAGCTTGTCTGGAAATCTGGACCAGGGCTCTAGAAGAGGGTTTTGAGGTCGATGTCGTGTACATCAATTTCCGCAAAGCTTTTGACACTGTCCCACACCAACGTCTTCTTCACAAATTGAGCGACATCGGCATCCGGGGAGATCTTCTGAACTGGATTAGGGCGTTTCTGGCTGGTCGGAAACAACGTGTCTGTATCGGGGATGATATGTCAGAATGGGCGAATGTGACCAGTGGTGTGCCGCAAGGCTCAGTTCTGGGACCATTGCTCTTCATCCTTTACGTTAACGACAGCCTTCAGGAACTCGACTGCGGCAAAATAATGTTTGCAGACGATGTTAAGCTCTGGCAAGTCATTAAGGGTCCGAATGATCAGAGATCCCTTCAAGATAACCTGCACCGACTGCAAGTGTGGTCGAAGAAATGGCTTCTAGATTTCAATGTGGAGAAGTGTGCCGTCCTTCATCTGCGTCCAACCAACTCTCATTCAAATGAGAGTCTGCGGACTTATCACCTGAAAGATATAAGGCTCCCCGCAGAATCTTCACAGAAGGATCTCGGGGTTTGGATACAGAACAACCTGAAACCAACACTGCAGTGCCACAAGGCTGCAAAAAACGCCATGGGAGTGCTGCATGCAATAAAAAGGGCTTTCGTAAATTTTGACCAAGACCTTTTTGGGAGAGTTTACGGCACATTTGTTCGGCCCCACTTAGAATATGGCATACAAGCATGGCGGCCGTGGCTATTAAAGGACCAAACATGCCTCGAACGAGTACAACGGCGTGCAACAAAGCTGGTAAACGGTCTAAAGAGCCAATCCTACACAGAAAGACTGAATTGCCTTAATTTGTTCCCTCTGTGTTACAGGCAGCAAAGAGGTGATCTTATCCTCGTCTACAAGATAATACATGGCCTTGAGTATGGACTTAAATTTAAGGACAAGTTTCAGTGACACCTTTCACCCAATCTTCGTGGTCACTCGATGAAGTTACGGACAACAATGTCCAGGCTGAATCTTCGTTCTGAATTTTTCCCGCAGAGAGTAATGGAGAAATGGAACGATCTCCCTCAGTCAGTCGTGGAGGCTACATCCCTGCAACTCTTCAAGAAACGCTTGGATGATTATTTGTGTCCCCTGTTTTCCCTCGACGGTCTGAATCTGAACTAATACCCCTGTTCCCCACAGATATTTTCTCTGAGACAATGCTACTCAAATGAACCAAGTACTGTTTTAATAGTGAATATTTTTTGTTCGTGTGCACTTATTTCTAACGAGCTGACATGTAATCAATAGGGTTTTCAAAGGCTTTGCCTATTATCCTTACCAAATAAACTGAAACTAAACTGGAAGCGATAAAAGGAAGCGCTTAGAGGTGGAGGACGCTGGAGGAGGTATAATCAAAGAAGAGTTATGAAGATTGTATGGGCGACTACTAGGGGTGAGTGCTGAAATCCGAGGAAAATTTGAACTATGATTAATGCGAAAGAGGAGACAGAAGCCCGCTTCTAGTCTTCGAACCCATAAAAATTTGAGGTTAATTAGCTGGCATCTATCTGAGTAGGAGATATTTGAATGTTCCTTAGCTAAAAGTTTTTTAGAAAAACGTCTTTGGACATTTTCAATTTTTAAACGACTAGCTTCATTCATCAAACCAAAGAATGGGCAACAATACTCGAGAATGGGAAGTACAAACATACGATAGAGCCTTAATTTAATTTCAGGAAGATAGAAATTGTAAGAAATAAAGCCACAAATCTGGGCAGCTTTGGCTGTAATTCTGTCAGCGTGTGGCGAGAGATCAAGATTACCAGTGTAGCTTAAACCTACATCCTTGATGGTTGTACATTCAGTCATAGGTGTGCCTTGAAATACCACTGGTTGGGGTAGCCTATCAGGTCCAAAACACATATAGCGACATTTAGACGGAGAGAATTCCATTAACCATTTTGAGCTCCAAGCTGAGAGAGCAAGCAGGTCAGCATGGATTTGCTTCAGGCAATGAAGGCCCGTAGATTTTTTGAAAGAATATACACATTTGAGATCATCGGCATAAATAAATGATTGAGAATGTTTAACTGCCGCCGAGATATCATTTATGTAAAGCAAGAACAAAAGAGGACCTTAAACGTTACCTTGTAAGACACCGCTTACAATAGGGCTTTAACTGGAAAGTGAAGATCCCACCAAAACCTTTTGTTTGCGATTAGACAGGTATGACCTGAGAAAGTCTATTAGTGGACTGCGAATTCCCATAGCTTCCAATTTAACCAAGGGTTTTTTATGTGGTACATTATCAAAGGCTTTATTAAGATCAAAATAAACAACGACAACAGATAGGTGGTCATTACGAATAGAGTTAAATACATTGAGAAACGACAGACGACATGTTTCACAAGAACGATCTGGTACAAAACCATGCTGGGGAGGGCTAATAACTTGATTGGCTATGCAAAATTCGGTAGTTTTTACGGCGATAATTTTTTCAAAGATCTTGGCGAAAGAGGGACTTTTATGGACACCCCGATAGTTCTGTACGCCATAACGACAGCCAGACATAAATACTGGAATAATAATAGAAGTTTTGCAATAGTCAGGGAAGAAGCAATTTACGAGAAATACTGAAAAGATTTTGCTAAGCAGAGGAGGCAAATCTCTTAGCTGCTTTATGAAAGAGTTTGGGATATTGTCCGTACCTACTGAGTGAGAGTTACGAATATGGCTTATCAGTTTTTGAATACATTCAGGAGAAAAATTAATGATGTTAAGAGAAGCATCAGACAACAGAGGAATTAAAGGGATTGGGTCAGTTTCAATGGTGAAATGATTGACAAAGAACGAATTTAACATTTCTGCTACGCCTGACTCCTCTGTAATGAAGCCACCGCTAATACAATGCAAAGGCGGAATGACTTGGTGGGACTTAGCAGATGATCTTTGAAAGAAGATCTAGGCAACTGAGTTAGAAGCATTCATGTCATTAGTAGCTAAAGACTCTCTATGCCTATCTCGCGCGAGCCTCATTTTCGAAGGTAGTTCAAATATTCCAACGATTCTTATATGAACTGATAATGAGCTCACAGAAGGATCTTTAAACTTCTTCCGTAAATTTTAAAGTCTGTTTTTAAAAAGTGTGGGACAGCGGTGGAATTAGCACTCGATTTGAACATCTTCCGAGGAAAAAGGTCAAGAAGACCTTCTGTTACTCATTGTAATAAATCATTGAAAAAATTTAGATCATCATTTGAAAAAATATTCTGCCAATGAAGAGTGCACGTAAAGTTATTTACTAATTCCTTGTTAACATTAGCAAAGTCAAAAATACTACGTTGTACTGTTGGCTTTGCGGAAATGGCAACTGGAAGGCGACAATGGATCAATGCATGATCGCTTGCAAAAAGGTCATGATAGAAATCCATAGATAAAGGGAAGGTGCCATTAGTAAAAATTAAGTCTAAAACACTATCGTTTCTGGTCGAAGAGTGAACTAATTAAGATAAGTTTGAAAAGTAAATGGTGTCAAGCAGCTTCCGGAATTTAGGAGGAGAAGTATGTGTGTTAGTCAATTTCGGGCAAATTAAAATCGCATACGAGTATCTTGACATCGAAAGAAGTTCCTGCAATTTTTTCAAAGAGTTCACAGAGTTGGCTTTCATTTCTGGAGGAACAAGGAGGATTATATACACATCCGACTTAGGCTTTCCTATTTTGCAGAAGGATTACCGAAGCAAAACATAAATTTCCAGATAAGGAGGAAATGTTCAAGTCATAAGGCGATTGTGCAAGTGAGGCTTTTATGTAAAGAAGGCATTTACCGCCGCGTCTTTCGGCACGATCCTGGCGGTATAAACTGAGGCTATCTATATTAAGTGCCGAGTCTGAAATCAGAGAGTGAGCCCAAGATTCTGTAGTGCACAATACGTTGGTGTCAAACTCGACAGCCACACTTCTTAGTTGTGTCATCTTTTGCACGACAGGTCTTGCGTTGAGAGAGACAATTCTGAGCGTATTCCTAATATGTAGGTTCCGCTCATTGCTACTTATTAAAAAGGAAGAGCCGGAGGTGGAAAATTAAGCTGTTGGAAAGAAGCAATTGGTGGAGGACAAAGTTGCTGCGGTCTAAAATTCTTGGTGTAACTAATAACTAGAGATGCAGCATTATATGGAACAACATTTGAGAAGGACCCAGGAAGATAAAGGCCATTTTGCTGGGTTGGAAAACTAGGAGGCATGAAAATGGGATTTTGGGAATTGTTAGCATAATATGAGGGGTAGTTTATGCTACGTAGCGGACGTAATGGTTTCGGGAAACAGGTAACATCAGGAAAGGGCTTTATTATTTGGGGTGTCAGACTAGCAATGGGATTGGAAAAGTTATCAGCAATGCTATATACTTGCATTTTGCAGTCTGGTATGTAGGAGGGCTTCACAACTGGGGCGTTAAGTTGAAAATTCATGATAGGAACAGGTAAAGATCTCCCTGAACTATCATCTAGCTTATTGGACCTAACCACGAGGTCAGACCTGAGTGGCCAGGCGTGGGAACGGGGTGGATTCGATGTAAGTTTATTAACTAAATCACTATTCTGCGTGCTAGAAGTCGTTTGTGCTTCAAGGATTGTCTCATCTTTACTGCTAAGATCAAGCTCCCTAGTAAATTTGGGAGCCGCATTTGAACGATCCTTGGTTCGTGGGGGAGTTTTAAGGAGGCTAGTTTAAACTGTCTCTGTGGTAATGTGATCAGTCGAAGAGCTAGATGGAACTGGGGCCGCTGTAGATAGTGGGGAGATTTGGTCGACACCAGATGGAGAAACTGCATTAGAGGTAAAAGGCAGATGAGTAGAATTCGGGGGTGGCTTTACGTTTCTTAATGGGTGAGAAACCCTTCGTTGCAGTGGAGTTTGATCTCGACTAATAAAAAGTTTATTCCCCCTGAGATATTGAGTCGAGCGCTCCAAATGGGAGAAAATAAAATCCACTTCTATCGACGAAAAGAATTTGACGTGAATTGGTGGATTTCTGCACCTAGATGAAAGCCTTTTAGCTTCAGCGACCATAAAGTTGAAAAGCGACATCGATTGGCCGTCTACTCTCAGGAACGTTTTTTAACATAAAATTGAAACTTCGTCTGTGCCTGTCCTCGGTCTCAGTAGCAGCCGGGTTAATGAGAGGCATGAGCTTCTCACACTACTGAGGCGTAAGCGTTGGCAACTTTCCGTCAAGAAGGGCACCAAGAACAGAAAAAAATGATCCGTAACGAGACATGAAATTGTTAAAATCATCAAGCGCCCCTAGATAAATTTTTTTCATATGAACAATGGGTTTCAGATGAAGTTTACTTTCCTTCAGATTTCAACGAAGGATTGCCTGAGGTTTCATGTCGCAAAAGCGATACATGACTTAAGTCCAAATGGTTATATGAATGATAACTGTCGAAACTTCGAGGATATATGGTTGAGGCTATGTATGATGAAACGATTACTGAAAGCTGTCAATATTGGTGGACCAGACAGCACAATTTATACTAAGCAAATTTTACTCAATAACATAATGCAAACTTGAAGAAAAAACGGGTAAATGACAATTTCATAGGTGGCAAAACAGAACAGTGAATAAATCTGAATTGGATAATGAGGCTATGTAGGATAAAATAGAGGACAGTATAATTCTCAATAAATCGACGATAAAAGCGGTCAGTGGCGACGGTATATCGTTTATAATATAATGCTATTCCATATTTTTACGAGGAAAACCTTTTGTATATGCAGGCAAGACTTGATAGGATTGAGGCTATATTGGGTGAAAAACTATGACACTAGATATCTGCTTTATGACAAATCGCCGAAACACGATGGGGAGCGAAGATGAATTATGACAAAAACTAAGAAATGTTGTCAAATCGACACTGGAAAACTGTGCAAGAGATTAAGAAATTAAATCAAAAAATAAAACTTTCGTTAATCTTTTCAAACTTGTGCTGCGCCGTTGACCTTCGGTCAGCCCTGGAAATGTGACACTGGAGTCAGCATCGGTGGACGAAGTCTTAAAGGTGACCGTGTAATGTTTATGAGAGCCTTACTGATAAGGATGACGGCAGCCGAACGATTTGGTCTGTCGCACAAATTGATCTACAGGTAAAAAGGAAAAGGTAGGGAATTCAGTATAATTCA